CCCCAAAACCCCAAAACCCCAAAACCCCTTAGAATATCTGATGTTTTGAATTAAGATATATAATTATAAATCAGATTTATTATTTTTATCCAGACGTTCCATTTCTGATAAATTGATTTCAATAGAGTCTTTGTTTTGTTGACCATCTTGAGCCATTGAGACTTTGAGTTTGGTCCCATAAATTGTAAGTAAGATACCAAGAATAATTATTGAAATTCCTATTAAAGTTTGGAACCCTGGAATTTGATCTTGTCCAAAGATGATTGCTGTTGCTTGAGCAATGAAAGGTTCAATCAAGAAGGCAATAGCAACAATTTCTATTTTCCAATGTTTATAAGACTGTTTGAGAGAAGTAAGCCAAAGAATGTTAGTTATGAAAGATACTGATAGGACTATAAGATATATCCAATAATCATTAAGCCATCCAAACATTCCATATTGTCTATCAAAACTAAAATACTTTGGGTTAAAGTCAAAGAGTGGAATCAAAATTGTTTCAAAGATAAATTGAAATCAAAATAGCTGAAACATTTCAACTTGAAATGGAGTATCTCTTCTTACTTTTTCATTAAATATCCCATATAGAGCTCCTCCCAATGAAGTTGTAAAAGCAATAATATCCCCAAATGCTTTATTCTGGCTCTCATCTTTCTTTAAAGCAAAGGGGTCAGTGACCATGATAAGAACGCCAATCGAATAAATAAAATATCCAATGAACTCATATTTGTGAACATATTGGCAGGCCATTACTGAGATAATTAGCAAATACACTCCACAACTCGAATATAATACATCTGCATGTGAGGCAAGAGTATATTTTCACCCAACTATGAAGCCAAATACCCACACAAACAGAAGGGCTGCCATGACAGCACTCTTTCCTTGGTTGGTTATAGAGAAATCAGTTTTGATAGCTTTTAACTTGCTAGCTTCATTTTGATTTCCCTCGTTTTTATTTGAAATATTAACTGAGTCTAAGCTTCAATAATGATAAACAAGATAAATTCCAATAGAAAAGATAGCCCCTTGAGTTCTCCATGTCGTAGAAACATATGCACCTTTACAAGGAATTGCAAGAACCATTGGTCCAATAATAGCACAAGTAAATACACATGTGAACAGCCAGATTCAGCCAAACACAAAGTTCCTGGGAGAATCAAAGGCAGCATTATTATTCTGATCTTGAAGGTCACTCTTTTGAGACCCCTCTTTACTAAGGTTCAGCCGATGATTCAGGAGTGGAATAGAATGAGCGTCATCACTTTGATTATGTACAAGATTGTGTTCAGAAGATCAGCAAGATTTCATTTTTAATTTTATCAATTTAGCAGATATGTTTAGGGGTTTTGGGGTTTTGGGGTTTTGGGGTTTTGGGG